TCATATTTTTATACTGCAGTACTCACTCCTAAATCCGCAGCGGTATGCATAGTCGCAATCGAGGACCCAATGCTCATATTGGACCAAGTCTGGTCTAGAGCCATGTTTAAAAGTAAAGTAGTCGAGCTGTCGATAGGTATCAAAGATCAGCGAGCTGACGCCACACAATGAGCAATCAGCTGCTGGGGATAAATAGGCTCACCATCTTCATAATCTCCGCATAGTTTCGCAATTCAAAGTCCCAAAGTCCATCTACGTCGATATTGCTCACTTTGATCATGACTTTCAAGCGAAGCAGCGAGTTTTTTGCCGACCATGCTTTCAGGACGTCTTCCAGGACATGGAACCAGACGCGCCCGCTGGAGTAATTTTCGCAGTCACCAAGGGATAACTTTATCTCTACAAACCGGACATTCTGGAGTGTAGTTTTGCTGATTAAAGAGGTGAGAGGCAGTGGTTTTGCGTTGCCCATGATCCACGGTGGAATCCGATCGATGACGAAGGGGCGGAGCCGCAGGACGGCCAGTGCCTCTCGGGTAATCTGCTTGCACAGAAGTAATATGGTCGGTGTATAATGGCTGATAGAGAAGCCGCATGATATGTTATTAATATTACGGGCTCGGAACTTATCAACTTGGTCGTAATATGCATCAAAAAGCTCACGGCAGGTAGGGTACTGCAACGCTCAGAGTTAGTCATCGTCACTTGGTGCGCGATTTCGGAAGCTTGTAGCCACTCTCTTTACTCAAAAAGGAGATTTCGTGCTCTGAAAGTTGTCTAACAAAAAAAATAAGAAAATGGTTCCCAGAAGGACGCACTTTAACTACGTATTGATAAATGGCGTTACGGGTCTCGGCAGGAAAGCTACTAAGAAAAGAGTAGCCAGTGGCCTTATTCAGTGGTGAAACCCCCAAGGTGGTAGTTGGGCTACAGTAAGACGGGAGGCTGCTCAAAGCCGGCCGAACTTCATGAAGCTGCGGCCGGAGCGTTACGGATTTCGGGGGTGGTATATCGGCAAGGAGCTTGGCTCGGGCGGCTGGGTCTTTGGATGCTTTGTGGATTCGTTCTCGACCCCGACGTTGCATGGTAGTCCAGTCGACATAGTTTTTATAAGCGACCTGCTCATCCATAGCCGGTATTTTCCCTACCAGAAAAGCCTAATGAGCTCATAGAAGAAGCCGAGGGCATGGATATGATGCAAGTCGTTTGTCGCAAAAGCCAACGAAAGGCAATGAAACGTTCATCATCTGCGCAAGGTTCATCGCGAAAACTCAAGGTAGCTTCCAGTACTGCAATCCGAGTCGAACTCGATGGCATCAGATCTGTTATTATCGCCGTATATCCCAGGCGGGAACAGAATTTAGTAAAATTCTAAGGCGTGTGTGCGTAGGGATCGAAACCATACACCCCGACTCGAGGCCGTACTTGAGCTCCAGGAAAGATATAGCAGGTAGTCCTGTCCTCGCGGAGCACATATGAATGCCCTTGATCGACATTCAAACCATCTAAAGCGAGTCGGTGGTAAGTTGCCGTAGATCAAATAAATAGACAGGTCTAGCTGGATCCCTAAAGTGGTGGTTGATAAAAACACGTAACGTTAAAAGCAGGTGAGCTCAACTCAGCAATTAAGGAGTTTGAGACCATAAAATCCAAGAAAATAGGTGAACAGGTAGCATAGTGGAAATAATAGTTCGGGGTGACTGACCACCGAAGCGCCTTCTGTAGTTACCTACATAACCGCAACAATAATAAGAGTAGGACTGGTTCTAAAACTAAATGGACATCGAACAACAACACCTAGTGGAGGTTGATGGTGGATGATTGAAAATGGATCACAAGATATCCTGAATTTGTGACGGGTCGAACACCCAAGACATATTGGGTAGCATAATGTACTAAGGGGTGGGTAAACGAAACCTGACGTTTGTGAGACGGTGATTGATTTAATAGCATATCATACCTCGTACATTTTAGACAACCTGAGAGGCTTATCAAGGAAGATGGTGTGTTTGCTGGGGCAAGAGAAAGACCGGTTATCGTAACTGACTCTGTTCCCTATGTGCCCAGTCAGATTATCCGTTGTGAACGGGAAGAAAGTGGCCGACTGGTAAAAATCGATCGGCTCTGGTCTCACCGGGGAAAAAACAAGGGTGGGATTTAAAAATCATCTATAACATTTATTGGAGACCCCTCCAATTGTTACCATTCTTTCATACAATTCGACACGGCGAGACCAATATAAATCCACCCGCCATCCAGTAAGTATCTCGCTGGCTTGCGGGGGCATGCTTATGGGTGCCTCATACCCTTGCAGAAGGAGACAACTCGTGATGGCTGTTGTTTGCGACTCCTACCAGCCATTTCAGACATGTCATATTTAGGATATGACGGCTTGGACCGTCCTTACATGTAGTATCCTGTAAGAGGGTTTCTAGTAGGTAAGTGGTTCTAGCTTTTTATCATTGTTGTAACGTGCGACAGATTGGGTTTAGCATAATCGCCGCTTTTGCTTCGGCTTGGCTCGCCCTACCTATCGCCAGTCAGGGGACTGGGAACTTTGGATTGAAATTACCGTAAGATTATGCATCTTTTATGCAGGTCACAACAGTCACCAAAACGGACAGGTTTTAAACGTTCAACTGCTCATGCCTTCAACTTGGAAATCGTCGTGTCATAACTTCTTACTCTATGCACCTTGATCCGAAGTTGCTTAATAGTCAATGTAAACAAATTTTTAAGAAGAAAGAGATTAAAAGAAAAACCTTAAACATTATATCTTTATATCACCTATTTACGTCATATAAAAATGTGCTTGTATGTAAAGCTTAGAACGGTGTTTTTATTGTATCGTAATCTTCTGTGCAGCCAAGGGAACCATGTAAACCTGACCCCTTCTTTATCTTGGCGGGCGAACCACAGCTTTTTTATATCCAAATAGCCTCGCCGATTTCACACTCCCTGTCTTAAAAGATCAAATAGTTCGCGAAACTGTCGAGAATCGACAGCTTGCCGTTCATATGATTATATACACGATATTGGGTGTCCTAGTCCCTCAGTACTTCTGTGTGTAACATGTATACCGTTAAAACAAAAGCTTGAATCATGGATGCTTAACTAGCTTGCATAAACTCCAGTAGTGCTAAGGGTTGTCACAATGCATAGAGACAAAACGAATCCTGTATATAGTCAGGATAGTCTTAGCCTCGTGTAGTTTCGAAAGACCCTCGTGCAACAACAAGATTATATCGCTTACCGCATACCAGGGCTCATGATAGAATACATTTATATTATTGCAATGCTATCCAATAAAGTAGCGGGAAATCTACATGTGCCCTAAAAATTTCTCGTTTAAATAATCGTGATAGTAGGTAACAACGTCTAGGTCTTGTAAGACAATGAGATTTAATAAGGTTTAAACATCTTTATATAGCCTATGTAGAATTTTCATTTATTTAAGGCACATAGTATTATCTAATACGATTGAGCTCTTATTTATATACTAGTATATCAAGTTAAATTAAGCATAAACAACATAATATTATATTCGGACTTTCTATAGTGTGACGAACCCAGTATACAGTAGGTAGAGATTCTTGTTGTTGCACAGGGGTCTCAAAGCTACGTGAGGCTATCCTAGATATATGTACAAAAGTCCCTTTGTCTTTATGCCTTGTGATATATAGCAAGAGCTTTATTAAGGTTGCGAAAAAGCGAAGGATAATATGCCGCGAGACTTAGATCAAATGGCTCGACATACACAGGAAATAGTGATGTGAAGGAGACGGTATTGTGAATATGAACTAGATTTAATATAGATCTAGAAGCAGGTAGCTTGAGGCCATTCCTCAAGGACCTCAAAAACCCGGAATTATCTTGAATGTTCATGGCGTAGGTACTTAGAAACCCGTCATTACTGACCCTAGTTTCATCCTTTAAATAATCGACGAGCTGCGAAACATCAAAGAAAACAAGATCTACGAATATTACAATCACCACGATCACCTGGAACAAAGAGCATATTTGTATATAGTTACAGGCTAGTCTACATAACAACGACACCCTTTGCGTAACAACAAGAATCAATACATACCTGTACCTAAGATCCTGACAACTAATGCTACGAACATAGCATGGCAAACCTTGTGTCACTTCGACTTCAAACAACCTTCGAATCCTGATGAGCTTCTCAGGGCCTAACTCTCCTGACTTTGTTCGTGTGCAATCATCGCATATTAATTGTTTTCAAGTCAGGAAATGAGCCGACGGCTAAGAGGCCATATAAACAAACAAGCATGCAAGTAGGCAACATAGGCCTCTGTACATCACTTGTAAATGAGCAACCAACTCGCTAGTGTGTGTATGATTCAGTGTATTATAAGAACCTACCTATCTTAAGAAATTATACTTACCCTACATAGGTAATTCCTTAACTAGTCTTGGCCATCATCCCTTTATCCCACTCACCACTTCAGCATTAAAATAGAGAGCAGGGCCAAAGTGATAAGGTGTGGAAGGCGCAACTACCCGTACCTAAGACTGCCATTATTCACTCACCCTTTTTTTGCGTCATTACTGACTCCTCCATGTTTGTTTGGTACGAGGCCCTACTTGGACTAGTTATTACCGTCCATTTCGGATGAATAGGAAAAGAGTAACTGTCTAGGTCATCATCGTATACTATACACGAAAGAATCAAGCTACTTAAGTGACAAGTCCATGAACTAGGAACATCAGTATGTCTTAGAAAATTGTAATAGCTATCTATAATTTAATGCTGGAGTGTGTGTCGACTAATCACCAGGTTATTTTTGCCTCCCCTTAGCTATTAACTAACTTAACTTAACGCCCTCCTTTTAAAGTCACAGGTGCTAGCTTATAAACTGTTCTGTGATTTGTCCGTTGTTGTGCTTTATCCCTAGCTGGACGTTTAATAGCAGGTTGAAAATAATTATTATCAAAATAGAATAAAAAGATGTTATCACAAAATAACAGCAAAAGTCTGACAAGAGTGGGATTCGAACCCACGCGGGTTTCCCCAGTAGAACACTGCCTGTATTACAGGTAAGTAATATTTGATTACTTGAACCTACCGCCATAACCGCTCGGCCATCTTGCCATTTGATTGCAAAAATTCTAATTTCGAGGAGCATATTCCTTCGGCTACCCGGAATCGCGAGAAGGTAGAGGATGGACAAAATAAGATTTGGACATCAAATGCAGCCCTCTATATGGACCGGGCTGTCCACTAAACACAGTATTACCTATAAAGATTCATTGTAAACTTAGAACTGACAATAGACGCCGGCGAAAGGGCCGCCTAACCTGCTATAAGCGGCTGACCACGAGCACAGGCGTGTTGTGGCAAGGTATAAGCAGGGGCCGTCCATCATACCTCTCGTTACATCTACTATTATTTCTTTTATGGTTATCTATTCTTTTTATCTCACAGGCTACTCTTCTGATTAAATACCATCGTATTGTTTTACTTACCATATCAAAGCTGTTCCCCCCTTGAAGAAACTGCCACCAAGCATTCATACCAATCCTATCTAATGCAGGTGGCGGCTAACTAGTAGTCAAGTTCCATTATTCACCCAAGAGAATATGCTTGATGGTTGTTTTATTCAATCTACCAGATCTGTAAGAGTATCAAGTTAAACATTCACGCTATTCACCCCACACTGAACAGTGCTACGAAAGTTGCCAGTCAACCGAAAAGCGGTATCGGCTGTGGTGTTGCATTCTGGCCTGGCTATTTCACAACGCACAACAGATTAAATGATGTTGTGGGCACGGTGCATTCATCGAGGGGTGAGCATGTGCTAGCAGAAATGAAACAAATTCAAGTCCGTTGAACAGGTGGAAATATGTTTAGACTATAGCTTCAGACTCCATTTCGTTGAGTTTGAAATGAGGTATTTGAGTCTTGCCGCCTCATGAAACGTATCATGAAGCTGCGTCTATTTAATATCCCAAGACTGGCACCGATTCTTCAACCTCGGAGTTCCAAATCAATGCCAAAAGGCCGTTGCAGCCACGCGGTCCATTTACAGGGCGCTGCGCCCCGGATATAATTGCAGACTCCATCACGTTCGTTGTTGTTGTTGTCATTGTGTTTGCCGAATCATCTCAAAGGGTTCCCACATCCTACTCGAGTTCTAAGGGATCTGTAAGGAGTTTTTGAGATTTTAATATCGCTTTTTGATAGAGGAGTATATCGACAGAGGAATAGGAATGAAATAAAAATGGCTTGTCATTAAGTTTATGGACATGAACGAATAGCGTTGTTTGTGTTACAGGACAGAACCGCAGCACTATACCGCATGACCGCATAAAAGTAGAACGTGCGCTTGACCGTCTGCAGCTATTATTATATACGAACCGTGTCAGGTTGGCTGAATAACATTCTTCTTTATGAAATTTAGTTGTCTGGGCCATCGAAGTGGGTAGCTGCTGTGTTAGATTATCTTCCCTGTCTCTATCTTCGTAGATGTTGTTCCTGTAGTATTAATGACAGTGGTACTAATATCGTTTTCCTTAGCCTGCATAGCATCTTTATCCGAAACCCTCTTCTTCGTAAGGTCGGTCTTGCTTGTTACTATGATCAAGAGTTTCATTAGTCATCTTTAAATGGCCTCGTTCCTCTAATGCCCGTTGTTTAAAATAAACGATAATTAGTGTAGCACAGCTCTGTAAGAAGTATGGAGTGAGTCGTAGAGTACTTGACAATCTTATAAAGCACCGCAGATTGTTTGCTACTATAGTAGTATATACGGACTGGTTGGCGGTTTTCCGTTTGTTACTGTATAATTCTTTATAATACCCCGTCTAAGCGGTACCTACCTAGGTATGCACCATTGATCCTCACTGTATGCAAATCTATAGGATTGAAGTTCAGGCTACCTTCTCCATCGGAGGCTAAAAGCGGCAGGTTATATACTAGGTCAAATTCGCACCAAGATACTACTATATACGCAGTAGTTACCTACTGTATAGGCATGTACAGCAGCATGGTAAAAGTCATAGGTATACTTATATGGGGCACTGTAGTACGTAAACACTTGCCTACATACCTGTCCGACAAAAAATGCGTGAACATCCTGGCAGCTTGTGAAGGGGCTTTACCACATGCACTAATTCCGGCAGCACACCTGTGTAAGCCGGGCCTGTGATAGGCTTGGTGGACCCGACTTGCGGGACTTGCGTCACAAACACCTCCAGTACACTACATACATACCGTACGTTCAAATAGATATATCATCGATTACATGCCATGGTTGCCTCCTACCTAGTCCACCAGTGCATACCTAGGTACATATATATGTGGGTACATCGTTCATAGCTACAGGCACCAGAATAGGTGCTATTCCTAATATTTTGGTCAAGTGCTGCAGTTAGGAAGTAGTATCGTGCGAAGTAAGGCAAGTAACAAAACAAGTAGGTATGCATCCCTCAATGCGGACATAGGTGGACCGGACCATTGCTACCAATATCAACGCTTTGATTTTGTCCCAGGTTGCTGAGATAACCCTATAACGATAGCGGTGAAAGAGCTGCAAGGAGCTCTGGCTTGTGCCGAAGCCCGAACACACCCGATAACTTAGTGGCCTGCTGTAGGTACTAAAAGATAAAATCGTCATCACGTCGTGTTAGGCACATTTTGTTCCTTGGCCTCTGAGAACTCGAATATTTATATTGCATAGGGAATCATTTGCACGATCTATTCCACAATACTAGTAGGTAGGTATGCAATAGAAAGGCAATTGTAGTGTAAGAAAAAAAAAGAAGAAGAAAACATGTTATAGTATCTTCAAAGGTATATACAGAGAAGGTTGTCTATCAAACCCGGTAAAAAGCAGTGACTACCTACCTCCTACCCGAAGGGCGCCATGTGTAAAGCAGGGTTATCACGCACAGGCATTGCAGGTGCTACTTAATATTTCAAATAAGTCAGGTAACAAGTCTAAAACCCCGCGCTTTTGCGTACTATGTATACGTATTTATGTGTGTTTGGCAACCTGAATCTCTGCATATCCAGTACTTTAAACTGGACACAAGTGTTACCTAACTAACCTAGGGATTTAGCAATGCTGGGCAGCTTCTGGGTTTCGGGACCTACAGCTCCGGCTCCGGCCATGCGTTTGGTTTATTGTAACACCTGCAAACGGTGCAGAGTTGTGAGTGTTATTGACCTTGATTGAACGAGGCAGCAGGAAATGCCTAACCTTATTAGATGCCTCCGAGTCGCCCAGGTGGTAGACAAAATACTACCTACTGTACTACTGTACTGCTGTACAGACAGATGCAGAGCAGGCGCTGCACAGTATGCAGTAGAATGTAGCTAGGTAGCAGCCTGAGTGCAGTACTTTACATGGAGGTGGGTGGCACCATCGACCCCTACCCCACCTGCACACTGCAAACGCCAGCTAAAATAAACCTGCTTGGCTTGGATTACCTGGCATGATGAGATGGCCCTACCAGCACTTGCGGCTACCCAGGCTCCTTCCTAGGCTATCCAGGCCACCCAGGTTACCCACTCCCAGAGATCCAGACGAGCCAGACTCAATTCCCACCCTTCTTTCTTTTCAAACACACACCCACACCCACACCAACAGACCAACAAGCCCGGAAACCCCCCCCTTGGAGCTCTGGTCTTGTTGATCGATCGTGATATTTGCACACCCGCTAACCACCATTCGCACCTTGCACCTCTGCCCAACCACCAGGGTCGATAGTTGACATCACGTCTATCGTCGAACCCTGAGATCCCACAACCGACTCGACTTCGTTGTTGTATCTGCACGTCGTGTCGTGTCTTGGGGTCTGGCGTTTATTGTTTTCTGCAGCGCTGTTTAGCGTCTCTGGCGTTTGTTTATGTCTCCAAGCCTCTTTTTTCCGCTTGTTATTCTCGGCTTCCTCATATCACGACTACCGTCCTTGTTATTGTTGTTGTTGTTGTCATCGTCGTCGCTGCCGCCGCCGCCTTCGCTGCTTCTTCCTCTCCTCTTCACGTCATGTCGGGCCTCGGCCAGCCGGGCTCCAGCAACCATAGTCATGCAGGACTCGCCTTTCCTCAAGTTAACGGACTTCGACGCGGCTATCACTCTTCTACGCCACCCAAACCGTCCCCGACGCCGCCGTACCAGCCTCAACAATATACATCTCAACAACCGCCGCAGGCGTATTCCCATCATCTGTTCTCGAATCCCACACCATCTCCCGTCCCCAATGTTGCGAGCGTTCCGAATCTTTCCAATGGACCATCGAGGCATACTCCGGTGCAAGCAGCCCAGCATGCTCAAGCGGCCGTACAAGCCGTCCGGCAGCACCAGCAACACCAACGAGGAAACCAGCAGCGGCAGATGCCACCGCAGCCGGGCCCTCCCCCCTCCATGGCATATCTCCAGCAGGCCATGAATCAACCGGTCCAGCAAGTCCCACAACAGGTCCAAGTTCAGCAGCAAGTTGCGCAACCCGTACCGCAGTTACCTCATACTCAGGCTATACAGCAGCAAGTTCAGCCGGTTCAGCCAGTGCAACCGCAGCCCGTTCAACAGGTTCAGCAAAGTCAGCAGGTGCAAGCTCAGCAGAATGAGGGAAGCTTGATCTCCCAAAATCAATCTCATCATCAACCGCATCCGCAACCGCGACCACAGCCCCCGCAGCATCAGCACCAACAGCCTCATTCACAACCTCATCACCAAGTTCACCCACAACCTGTGACGTTACAAACGCAGCCAACACCTCAGCCACAGGCTCAACCACTGCCACCTCCTCAACCAGAGGCTAATGCTGCTTCTCAAGACGCTCACCAGGATGATGATATGGAGGTTGATAGTCCGGGCGAGTCCGGAGAAGGAGAAGATCGCCTGACACCCAAGCTTCTTGACGCTACGCCATTCGTACCCCGGTCTCCTATGGGTGCAAGGATGTCGGCTCCACCGGAAGGAGGTAGTTATGCTAGCCTTGAGGCTATTCACCGATATGTACTTGAATATTGTACGTCAGTTGGATACGCTGTCGTTATAGGGCGGTCAAAGAAGACGGTACCAGGATTAAAGAAGGTTCTTTTCGTCTGTGATCGTGCTGGAAAACCCCCAAGTCGAGTCAGTCCGG